AGGATGTATTAGGGGAAAATAATATATGTATCAGCTTTAGTATTATTGGAACCCCAGAAAAACCCGCAGCCGCTACAGCATCTGCCACAGCCCCTACCCTTTGGGTGAGCACTGTGTGCGCACTGGGTAAAACCTCCACTGTGTAATAGCCTGCAAACCACACAGGGGATGTAAACCGCATTAGTCAAGCCCTGTGCGACGGGCTCAGACCCAAAAGATATTGAGGGTGAATTTATATAATAACTAATAAATGTATTAGTTATAAATCATATTTGGTATTATATAGTGTATAACTAATACATAGCAAACCATGACATTAGTAATACCATAATTTTTAATACATGGATAAGCATGTATACAACCTTATGCAATGTATGTTATTTTTAATACATCAAACCAAATAGTGAATAATAAATAATTCCAGTATTAACTAATCCCAATATAACTAATTCCAACATTGCTAATCCCAATATTACTAATATGCATTTTATTCAGTATCATTCTTATACGCCCTGCCAAACGATTCCTGATAGTATAAAAATTCCTTGCATCGTGGCTATTTATAAGATAAATCTTCGACAAAAAACGAAAGATATAAAAGGGATGGGAGGTAGACAGATACTAACAAAAACAGTTCCAGTTGCATCCAAAATTCCTGAAGCACCTGAAGCATAATTAATTCCACTATGTGTGGCATTTGACTCCACATTAGGTGCTAAATACGGCGGAGGAAATGAGTTTGTTCCAAGAGCTTGACCTGTAAAAAAAAAAATATATACAGAAAATAAATAGAGTTTATGTCTACTTTACGAAATATGATCCTCAAACTTTATAATTAACAGGAGGATATAACTACTTTACTGCCTATTGCGAAAGAATGTTTGTGACCTAGAAGGTACCTAATTGTCACGCTCTTTTAACTAAGATATAACATAACTTGCACAAAAATAAATAGAGTTTATGTCGCATACGCTTGCAGTGGAAAGATCTTTTGCACTACCAATGATTTTTAACATGTAATAGTAGGTTAATTAGTTAGCATTTTTATTAAATTATCAATTAATGCATAAAATTCACATATAATTATCTTATAACAATAATAATAACAACAAATCCAGTGTAATCCCATAAGTGGGGTCTGAGGAATGTAGTATGTATGTATATCTTACTCCTATCTAGTGAAAGTAGAGAGACTATTTCCGACAGGCACTTTACTCAAGAAACGGGAAAAAAAGTAAGTAGTAACAACAAACAATAACAACAACAGAATAATAAGATAACTGAAGCGAACGACACATATAACAATAGAACATAAAATTATTTTATAAGTGGCTTGATTTTGAAATATATTTAAAATTAAAACCGTTAGAGCATAGAAGTTGAAGATCAAGTATCAAATAAATATGAATCAAATCGCTAAGTTAGATTGGCAAAATTACCAACAATATCTGAAATGGTGCGACCATTGGTGAATCTTCCAGTAGGCTGGCCATGGGAAGGTTTAAAGTCTATGCCATATGGAGGAGAGTCGGCCTTTGAAAGCGTAAACAAGAAATTGTTATTCCCAGCATCGACCAAAGAATCTCCAAACACAAATGAAGTAGCAATACATGAACATATGGGAAATATATAAAACATTTGGAAAATGAATGTCAAAGTGAAGTAGGGGAAAGTTGCAAGATAATGAAGAATCTCCATTGTCCTATGTTATTAGTACAAGAACCATACTTAGTTAAATATCATGAATTATATGTACTTTGATGGGATATGAAATGGTAAAATGTCAGGCACTTTGCATGAGCCTGCTAAAATAATGGTAAAAATGGTACAACGTTTGAAATGGTCATTGTAATCTTCTGAAATTGATATGTATTTGAAATCCAACGTCATGTTTGGAGCTGTTTGGTATTTGGAATTTATTAGCGCTCAAGCACAAGGTCCTTCTTACTAGCTCACAGACTAAGATTTTGATACAGCAGTCAAGATTATGGTTCAAATTTTGTACATGTATGGAAAAGAAATATTCTTCAAATTTCTGAGGTAGCAACGTCATGATATCTTTTTCCTCCTAGAAGAAATGAAAGTTTAATTGGTTTTGTGACCAGGTTTAGTGAAAACAAGGTGAATTATTTCCTCTGCATAATCTATATTCAAGCAAGGTAATTGAGTGGTCTTCTACAGTTATATGTAGAGGTGGCAAAAGGGCGGGTCGGGTCAGATATAGACGGGTCGAAAACGGATAATGTAAAAATAGATAAACTACCCGACTCGACCCATATTTAATATGAATAAAAAATGGGTTAGCCGGCGGATATTATCCATGTCTTCTTAAATATGATCACTTTTGGGAGAATTTATAGTCTCTCAAACTTGAGAAACCCCCAATTTGAGACTGTACAAATGTAAAAGTTAAACCTATTTAGTTATCCATTTTCTAAGTGGATAATATGGTTCTTATCCATATTTGATCCGTTTTTAAAAGTTTGTTATCTAATCCATTTTTAATGGATAACATGGGTGGAGAACTGTTTTCTTTTATCCATTTTGCTATTAGTTATAAGGTACATCTTATAATTAAAGAGAATATATTAGCAAGACTTGTGTGCATGCACAATGTCACACCAATTTTAGACAGGGGTACTGGAGCTAGCTAAAAATTTACCTATGGATTCGTCTGAACTCAATAATTTTAGTTCAAACTTTGTATTTATATTAAGAACTTCACTAAATAGGTATAAAAATTGAATTCAAAATCTTGATACTAACCAGTCTTAGAATTTAGAATAAGTCCAAATTCTAATTCTACCTCTAGTTGTTACTTATAAAAACCTTCAGATCATGAGAACGTTTTAATTAATTGAGTTGAGGTGATAGATGATTGATTGATCTCCAATAAAAGGGAGGAGGGTTATCTCATCAATGAAGTGGTAAAACAGTTTCGTATAAGAGTTTAAGTTATATATACCTTTAGTGTAAGTAATTTGATCATATTTATATGTTATAGTAGGTAATCTATTGTTGAGTCCCACATTGGTGGGATGAGGGTTTCGTGATCTCTTTATATGATTTTGGGGAATTCTCACCTTATGATCTAACTTTTATGGTTGAATTAGGCTCAAGATCTATTTAACATGGTATCAGAGCCAACATTTATTATTTACCGATGTTGGCCCCCCATTATATTATCCACACTCCAGTTTGGGCATGAGAGAATGTTGAGAGTCCCACATCGGTGGATGAGTGTTTCATGGTCTATGTTTACCCTAAAAAATGGATAACAATTGAATTTATACACGGTTTTAATGATATATGGACTAATTCAATACAAGAGATCAATAACGTTAATTAAGTGAATTAAAGATAGAATGAATGACTAAACTAGTTGTGATGTTAGGTCCGAGCTCGCCTCTTAACTTAGTGATTGTTCTGCCCTCGATTTGAAGCCAAATACTTATGAAGAACTATGAGTAAAAATAAGAACTTTGAACAACTTTAGAAGTAGAAATAACAAGTGTATATTGCCTTGATATGCGTGTTACAGTGTGTGTATAAACTTTTCTTTTATATAGTACGAGAGTTTTACCCTAAATACAATTCTAAGAAAGGTAAAAATCTTATTTTTCGTTAATCACTGATCCGCTGTCAATACGGGTCGAGATCCACGTCGTGATATCCGGTAGGGCATGGATATCACGGTCCTTCGTTAGTCGTGGACAACCGTTTGGTTATGCCTTCTGAGGTCTTGGAGACCGAACCAGATTCGGGGGGCGTGTCTCGATGGCCCCGGTGGTATGCACTTTATTCGGGCCTTAGTACGAGAGGTTCTTAGCTTCGATTCTGATTCCATGTAGTTATGTCCTCGCTTTATTTTTCCCACTGGGGAATCGAGGGGCTCACTAGCCCCGGTTTTACCCGTATACAGACAGTCCCCTCATTTTTCAGAGAGTAGGTTTTCCGAAACGATAGATGAAATCCGGTTCCTTCCTTCGTACGTCACATTCGAAACGACGAAGAAGTCGGAACATCCTATCAGTCGTGTCGTTCTGATTTTGAAGACGTGTCAGCCATCGGCTGGTTGTCTTCAAATGTGAAGCGTCGCGTATTTTCCCTATAAAAGCTTCTATCCTTTGCTCGTTTTCCATTTTCCGATCAAGCTTCCACCTTCGAATTTTCAACTATCAACAACTTATTTCATTCCTTCATATCTTCACCCTTGATCCTCAAATTCTCATTATTGTTCTTAGGCTCTTACCTAGATTTTTTTCAAATCTTCATACTTTGCTTTTCAGCCTTCAAAATTGTTCCTTAAAAACCTTCATATTTTTAAACTTTACGAGATAGCAATGGCTAAAACATCTAAATCAGTTCCTCAAAAGACTGCCTCTTCATCTTTTCACCCGGCCACAAATACTGAGGTAGCTGCTTCCGAGGCGGTTGTTCCAGAAGTGGCTGCTCCCGAGGTGGTTGTTCTTGAAGTGGCCACTCCCGAGGTGGCTGTCCCCGGGGCATATGCCCCCGAGGCTACCCCTGATCCTTCCCTGAAATGCTTTATACCCGGGGGTTGCTCAATCGCGGATGACTTCAAAGTCGAGAAGCCCTCATCAAAACAAGATCGGGGTGAAAGAGCATCAAGGTATATATGCTCCGTTACCGAATATGTCCTTCCCATGGTCCGAAAGGACTGTAAATGAGAAGATAAGGACGTAGTAGTCCCCGGGCCTGAGGACACTATTACTACCCACGTGGAGGGCTATTTAAGTATTTACATTTACCCCTTCATACTGAACCTGTTAGACCCACTTGTTTTGGCTTTTGCAAGAGATACGAGGTGTGCCTTGGGCAAATATACCTGTCTCTATGGAGGATCATGATCGTTCTCCGTTATTTTGTGAATAACACTGAGTCACGTCGATTTACCCTCTACCACTTGCTCCTTCTATACAACCCTCAAATTTTCTGAGGGGGATTAATCAAGCTCACTCACCGGGCCAGCAAGGCCCCCTTTTCGAGTATGACAAAGATCGAGACCGAGGCTGGCATGAGTGCTTCATTCGGGTGAAGACTGAAGTCTTGATCCCTCTTGAGTTCATGCCATTTTCCGAGAAGTGGAATGCATTTCGTAAGTGCAACCTTTCCTTAAGTGTTAACTTTTCTTCATTTCCTTTTTCATCATTCGTATTTACGGTTGTGTAGCTGTTGCCCGGGTTCCAAATGCAGTCCCCCGGCTCAAGGAGTGGATCGAAGGTAGCTGCAAGCAGATGTCATACTTTGAGCGCTCATGGCGCAAGCTTTCGAAGGGCCGATGGGAGGCCCATTCTCATGGTAAGGTTCTCATTTGAATAGCTATTACCGTGCTCTTAACCCACCTCATATTGACCTTCCTCCTTTCTTTTACAGGTTTGCCTAAGACAACCTAACTTAGGCCTTTAGAAGGGAATGGAGATGCATCCTTGTCCGTTGATCCCTCCGTTACGAAACAGCCCGGGGCTGCCACGGGGGAAAAGAAGAAAAGGAAAAGAAAATCTTTGTGCTCCCCGGGTTCCGAGGTGAAGCCAAAGAAGAGGGTGGCTTGTAAGCCCAAGAAGAGTACCAACTCCCTGGTGCCGGATTCCGACTCGCTTCTCCCGCTTAGGGATGAGTCGGAAGAAGACAACACTTTTGTTGCCCATAGATCGACCCCTCTCGGGGAGCAGGAAGCAACCGAGGAGAAAAGTCATGAGGTCGGGCCTCTCCCAGCCCGAGAATACGAAGTTGAGATGGAGGTTGCGACCTCTCAAGAAACTGCTCCTGCCTTAAAAAAGGCTACTGGTGTGATTAACATCGTTGAGACGTCCTCCTACACCGATTCTATGCTCGACGAGGCCCCAACGGGCAAAGATAAATCAAGTGAAGGAGCACAAGGTGCATATGACCCACTCTGCTCCATCTTTGATGGCGTGGATATGTCCAATTTGTACGATTTTAATGGGCTGGGCATCTTGGAGGTCCCGAAGAAGGACGTACCTTTAGAACCTAACGGGCCGAGTTCAAGCCCAAAATTGATTAATCAGTTTTCCGCTCCGAGTGTGGACCCCGGTCGCAAGAGACCGGTTATTAATACTGTCCTTGAGGATTCTTGGGTTCTATCCGCTCCCATGGGCGTTGTTAGCTACCTTCGATGCCTGGTGACCGAGGAGGACCAGACAAAAATGAACGAGGTGGGAATCTCGTGTCTTTTCAATGAGGCACAGCAGGCGCTGAACCGGGTAAGGCATCATTACGTCCTCTTGAATGTTTCTCAGGTTTTAATATCCCTCACAACTTTTGTTGTTTTGCAGGCCTCAATACTTCACCACGAGAGCTCCCTCCGGTACCGTTATGAGGTCAATCAGCTCTAGTTCGAGCTCAAGGAGTAGGCTCTAAAGAAGGATATGTACAAGCTCCTCAGCGAGCAACAATATGGGGCCATCAAAGACCTTCAAGCCAAGCTAGATAGGGCTTAGAAGGAAGCTCCGAACCTGAGGCAGGAATTGCCGACCTGGTAAAAAAGGTAAAGGTCTTTGAATTTAGAAATGAGAAACTAGTCGTGGTAGCTAACGACAAAACCTCACAGGTCCAACAGAAAATCGACTAGATCGACCAACTCCGAATCGAGATAAATGAGATCCAAGTTATGGTCGATGGGTGGAAGAGCAAAATATACCTGCTCGCTTCGGAGA